GGCTGGAATCAGTGGTGTCTGGCAAACATTGACTTGCCTTTGTTTATCACAGTTGGGGTTTTCAGTTTTCTTAGTAGTTCAACTTGTACTTGAGTCACCAGATGCAAATTAGACATTTCTCTCTTCAATTCCCAGTATACATTTTGCACATCATCACTTGAAATGCTTAGTCTTTGGCAATCTCTTCTCTGCAGATTTTCTTCCTGAGATGCATCCTTTGTTTGGCTTTTTGTAGCTCTATTCTGAGATTGTTACATTCTTTCTTCATCAGTTCTAGTTCTTGTTGTAAGCCATGGATCTTCAGGTCACAATTCAACTTTTCCACCTTCCAGGTTGATGAAGGTGGATTTAAATTCCTTATCACCTGCTGAGTTTCCACCTCTGTTCTTAGCTGGAGGAGTTCTACTTCTTTAGACTGCAGCTGTTCATTCAATACTTTCAATGATTCAGAGTTGTCTTTATTCATTTTATCCAACTTGCTCTTTAAATTATCTCTATCAATGCAAACCTCTAGGTATGCATGGTAGGCCTTATTTACTTGTTCTCATCCTACAGAACTTGTTTCTCCATCTAATAAAGTGTCTATAAGCTTTTCTTCCAAAAATCTTATTCTTTTCTTTAGGAAAGAGTTCTCTTTTTCTGAATCCTTGAGTCGTTTTTTGATTTCTTCATATGCAGTGACAGGGGCAAAATGTGAAGCAACAGACTCATCTGAATATGTTGAGACCAGATCACTGTATCTCTCCTATGGGCTTTTTCATGATTTAGAATGCAGATATCATCTTCTACCAGTGTATCCATGACAGCCCGAGTCAGGCTACATAGTGCGCAGCTGAGTTTCGATTCCCCAGCATTAGGAAACGGGTCATCAGGGATCACCACAGGCTTCCAGTTTCCTCAAAGACACTGCCACTTCCCCTGCAAAGGCCTCTGTTCCGGGTACACCATGGAGGGATTCCCATTGCTTTGGCCTCGGCTGCACCAGGACTGATCAGTGGGCTGGGGCCCAGAGGATCAGGAAGGAGTCTATTTTTTATAGATTTTTATCTTTCTGGAAAATTTTCACTTTATCTAGGTAATCTAATTATTGGCATACCGTATGAATAAGGTATGGTATCCTCTTTATAATCCTTTTTTTGTTCCCCTAAGGTCTGTAGTAATGTCTCCACTATCACTTCTGATTTCAGTAATTTGGTTATTTTCTCTTGGTCAGTCTACCTAGTGCATGCAGGTCAATACGGTTGATCTTTTCAAACAACTAACTTTTGTTTTTGTTAATCCTATCTAGTGTTTTGCTGTTCTTAATTTTCTTTATCCCTAATCTCATATTTATTATTTCTTTTTTATTTTGTTTGCTTCCAGTTTCATTTTCTGTTATTTTTCTAGTTTCATAAAATGGAAGGTTAGATTATTGAGATAATTTTTCCTTTTAATCTTGGTGTTTACAGATATACATTTTCTTCTAAGTAATGTTTTTGCAACATCTCATAAGTATTGGTATGCCAGTTTTTCTTATTTTATCTCAAAGTATTTTCTAATTTCTCTTATGATTTTTTTCTTTAGCCCATTTGTTTTTTAATAGTGTAATGTTTAATTTTCACATATTTCTGTGATTTCCAGATTTTCTTATGTTATTGATTTGTAGCTGTATTCTTGTGAGGTCAGATAAGATACTTTATACGATTTCAATATTTTTAAATGTATTGAGACAAATTTTATTGGTTAACACATGGTCTACCCTGTAATAGGTTCTATGGGTACATGAGGAAAAACTTATGGTCTGCTGTCCTCGAGTGGTGTGTTCCATATGTATCTGTTACGTCTAACTGCTTTACAGATTTATTTACACCTTCAATTTCCTGCTGGTATTTTGTTTAGCTGTTCTATCCAGTAGTGAATATGGGGTGTTATACCCTCCAACTATTATTGATGAATTGCTTGTTTCTTCCTTGAAATCTGTCTGTTTTTGCCTTATATATTTTGGACTTTACTGTCAGGTGCATATATGTTTATAATTATTATATTTTCATTAATTGAAATGTTATTATATAATGTCATTTTGTTCTTGTAATAGTTTGTCTAGTAATAGTATAGATGCACCAGCTCTCTTTCAGTTACTATTTGTTTGGAATGTCTTTTTCTTCCCTTTACTTTCAACCTACTTGTATATCTGCATCTAAAATGAGTTTTTTTGTTGGATTATGATTTTTCTTTGTTCTGTCCAACTCTGCCTTGTAATTGGAGAAATAAAAAGTGCCATCAATGGTAACTGGATAAGATAAATCAGTATTAATGTGTTTTTTGTTTGTAACACCTCTTTTTTCTTATATGATTTAAAAGACAACT